TATTTAGTCGGATATTTTAGAAGGCTCTACCCGGCGGGTTAGGAGTTGGTATAGGGTAAACCCGCACCCGACCCTACCCATTGCCATCCCTAGTTAGGGTATAGGGTATGTGGTTAGTGTATAATGTATTTTTGGTTTAGGGTATACGATCAACAACATACACTAACTTAATATTGTCGATTGAGAGTAAGGCCAAGTGTATAGGATATATGTTATTGAGTAAGTTATGATTGAAGTCACAACAATTTTACTAAATTTGATAGTTAATCTTTAATGGTTCAATTTGTAGGGTAATTCAAACAATTTTACAAATAACTTGTTTGCCAACAGTTTACTGAAGTTATTTGGGAATATTTCGAAATAACTCATTTTACCACTCTGCTTTTGCCAAATACCACACGCCAAATCCAGATTTGCATGGTTATACTTAGGGTTGATAATCGTTCGATTCGGTTATGACCAGAACCGTTTATTCGGTTATCGATTAACCGTTTAGTAATTCTTACTTACCGTTAACTGCATCGTTTATATTAGTCGGTTAACCGAAACCGTTTAGTCAGTTCTCAGTTATTTTTTTGGTTAACCATTTAACCGTTAAACAAATGATTTATCGGGATAAGACCAAAATAACCATATAACATGTTATGTATACTAAGGCTAGGAGCTCCACATAAGCGAGCTGCTTCTACGACCTGTATAAAAAATACAAAGAAATGCAAATTTTACCTTGGGTATAGATTGAGAATAGGATCTCTATTTGTGCATAGCTCAACCTTAGCTAATGACGGGGACAAGAAAGAGAGCAACACGCTTCACACAACTATATAAGAATTGGTAGTTTTCGTGGATAAACTAGGTCCAGAAAACGTCAAATAAGTGTTCCTAACAATAGACCGCAAAAGTGTTTTTCTGGCCAAGTGGTGGCTCCTTCTGTGGCCATTGTAAGGTATATCCTATTGGGCTCATCGATTGGCTTTGGTTAGTCGGTTTTGATCGGTTAACCGGGACCCGTTGGGTTTTGACAGATTATGGTTAGTTTAACTTATTAACAACTTTCGGCTGCTGACAATAGACCCGAAATGTTCTAATCGATAATCGGGCATACTGATAACCAGCGGTTTCGGTTCGGTAAACCAGAAATTCAAAAATCGATTATCAGCCCTAGTTATACTAAACGAGATACTTTAATCCAAGTACTATTGAAATAATACTAAAATACCAAATAAACAATTAATGATGCTTTGGCTGCAAATGTTCATATCACCATTACTATTAGCTAGTGTACTTTACCAATTACGATTAATTATATAACAAGTTTGCAAGTCATACAAATTGATTCAACATTTTGACTAGTTTTTTTTTGTTAATTAAGTATATATACGAGATAGAAAGAAATTGGTCAAAATTTGATAAAAATATTTTAAATTAGTGTAATAAAATGTGTAAGTTAGTAACGAGTAAGGAGTAAGTTACTCGATACGCTTACCCGAACAACCCGCAACCCGATCCGCCCGCAACCTGCCCGAGCCGAACCCGATGAACCCGAATCCGATGAACCCGCAACCTAATGAACCCGTAATCCAATTGAACCCAGTCCGAACCCGATTAATACCTATACTCTTTGACCAACTAAGAGCTTGGAATCATGAAGTTTGAACTTCATATGATTTTTCGGGATAGAAGTGTCAATCTAACGTCAATATAGGTATTTGATTATTTCAGCCATTACGCTTCAACTCTTTGCCATGGGTAGAAGTATAAGCATTCGAAAATGTTGAGTTGATGGCATGTATGTTTTCAACCGAGATGGTATGAAATTGAAGAAACAGAAGTTTGCAAAATCTCATTTTATCGTTTGTCAATATTTTGCATTTGTAATACCCAGATTTTCGAAAATTTGGCCGTCATTATGTCGATGATTGTGGGAACAAATAATGTGTTGAAATCAATTGGATTCCTGGTAATTTATCGTTTTGGTGTTTTGGACGCAAAATTTTTGCAATTGACAATCACTTACTGGGATTCCGAGATTACCATGCAATTTTATTCAGCAATATATTCATGGCAAAAAGGATGCATACCCTTGTTTTCCTTCCGAGTGCTTTTAGAAAAAATTCTAATTGAGAGAAAGGGTTTGAAAAAATTTATTTGGATCCAGATATTGTATTTCTTATGCTAAAATCACGAACAAAATTCTGAACAACCAAAAGTCACATTTTCTGTTTCCACCATTTCTTCCGATATAAGCATCAATTAGGGTTCGAACCATACCATAGCATATCGCAAAAGCATAACCTGGTATGGATCTTATAATTTTGGTATACTTTCTGGTATGTGTGCCACCACCTCGATCTCGACTATAGTTTTTTGTCTGTAGTTTTGCGGTTCTTTGCCCGAGATTTCCCTTTAACTTCGAAACTCGACTGTAAAGACCGGATCGCTTTATGTTTTGCTCGTATTTGAGATGTCAAATAACAAACAAACATAACTTTCCGATAAATGATGCATTAGAATCGGTGTGAAGGATTGAGTGATTGACAAGCGTACTTGAGGGAAAAACCCAAGAAGAGTAAGAACCCTATGAGTATAGGTGTCAATCGGGCGGGTTCGGGCGGGTTCGGATTGGGTTCAATCGGGTTCGGGTTCAAACGGGTTGCGGGTTAGTCGGGTTGCAGGTTCATCGGGTTCGGGTTCGAACGGGTTGGTGGTTAGTCGGGTTGCGGGTTCATCGGGTTCGGATTCAGTCGGGTTGCGGGCAAATCGGGTTGCGGGTTCATCGGGTTTTGGGTAGGGCGGGTTGCGGGCGGGTCGGGTTTCGGGTTGTTCGGGCCAGCGCATCAAGTAACTTAACTCATTGCTCATTACCAACTTACACATTTTATTACACTAATTTAAAATATTTTCTCAACTTTTTAACCAATTTATTTCTACCTCGTATATATATATACTTTATTTTTTTGAAAAAAACTAGTCAAAATGTTAAATCAATTTGTATGACTTGCAAACTTGTTATGTAATTAATCATAATTGGTAAAGTATTATAGCTAATAGTAATGGTGATATCAATATTTGCAACCAAAAGACACCGTTAATTGTTTATTTGATATTTTAGTATTAATTCAGTAGTAATTGGATTAAAGTATCTCGTTTAGTATAACCATGCAAATCTGGTATTTGGCGTGTGGTATTTGGCAAAAGCATAGTGATAAAAGGAGTTATTTCAAAATAACTCATTGCCCAAATAACTTTAGTAAACTGTTGCCAAACGAGTTATTTGTAAAATTGTTCGAATTATCCTAAAAATTGAACCATTAAAGATTAGCTATCAAATTTAGTAAAATTATTGTGACTTCAATCATAACTTACTCAATAGCATATATCTTATACACTTAGCTTTACCCTCAATCAACAATATTAAGTTAGTATATGTTGTTGATTGTATACCCTAGACCATCAATACATTATACACTAACCACATAACCTATACCCTAATCATATGTCCTTGAGTTGTGATTTTGCTAGTATAGTTAATTTAAAAGTGAAATTCATACTTTGATTTTCAACACATAGATAAAAAGTGATATTTGCTAATTGTTATACCCTAACCATATATCATATACTTTACACCACATACCTTGTACCCTAACCACGTACCATAAACATAAATTAAAAGGGGATCTCCTGTCGTTAAAGACTTCAAATGACTTCAAGTGAACATATGTTAATAAAAAACTTAGAACCGTCAAAACCATCAATATCTTGTACCCTAACCATATACACCCTAAACCATATGTACCTTATATGGTTATACCTTATACCCTAACCATATACTTTATATCCTAAACAACAAACCGTCAAAGATTACTTATCAAGTTTAGTATAAATTGCTGTAACTAATGGTTAATTTATTTATTAGCCCATAAAAAATTACATACATACATACATATTAGCCTTCAAAGCATATAAGAATAATTTTAACTAGTCATGCCCTCCATATAAAAGTTAAAATTCATATTTCAAAAGCTAAAATTATGAAAAACCAAAAAATTGAAAACACCAAATTTGTTTCCTTCTTTCTTTTCACAAAAATACTAAAATTTCCCTCCTTCTTTCTCCTTCCATACATTAGAAAAACTCAATTTTCCCTTCTCTTTCTCTTCCATAAAATTGAAAGAAACAAATTACTCTCTTCTTTCCTTCTACAAAAAGTTGAAAAATCAAAAGTTTCCCTCCTTATTTCTCTTTCATAATCAAAAGAATCAAATTTTCTCACTTCTTTCTCTTCCCACATATCAAAACCACCAAAATTCCCACTTGTTTCTTTTCTAAAAAATTCAAAGAACCAAATTTCCCTCTTCTTTCTCTTCCCAAAAACTTGAATACACCAAAATTTCCCTCTTCTTTTAAAAACATCAAATTACCAAATACATTACTTTACTTTATTTATATTTAATTGATAATTTTATTGAATAGTTAAATTATCCAAAATTTTAATTTATATATTATATTAATATTGTCATGATCTCAAGTGACCTTCATGTTTCAATTTTTATAATTTTCTTAAAATACGTAACATCAAGTGAGTTTCATATTTTTAAAATTTCTTATACGAAATGAAAAAATAATTTTACTTAAGTTTAGAATGAAAAACTTTATTTTGAAAAACTATGTATAGTATATTTTTATAATTATTCAAGTGGATTAGATGAAATTCGGGTTGAGTCGGTCGGGTTACGGGTTAGTCGGGTTCGGGTCAATCGGGTTCGGGTTAATCGGGTTGCGAGTCAGTCGGGTTGCGGGTCAATCGGGTTCGGGTTAACCGGGTTGCAGGTTAGTCGGGTTGCAGGTTAGTTGGGTTGCGGGTCGGGAGGGTTACGAGTTGTTGACTTTTAGTCAATTCAGGTTGCGGTCGGGTTGCGGGTCGGGTTGATCGGACAGGTTAATCTGGTCGGGCTATGTTTTGACACCTACACCTATGAGCATGATAAGAGTCGGGTTTCCTATCGCAATTCTGATTATTCCGGGGTGTCTTATAAGTTTTTAATGATTTTAAAAGCCAGAAAAATAGAATCACCTGACAACGCCATTCCCAGTAGGAAATTATTACATCGTAGACGAAAAAACAACATAGCTAAGGGAACTACAGGAATTTAATCCCATATTACTTGGACAAGGAGCAAAACTAAGTTGTCAGGACAAACATTTCAGAGCAGCAAAGCATCATAACCTAGTTAGCTTGCAATGAACTAACAATAGTTCTTGGTTCTAAGAGCAAACACCACCTGAAGAACTATATAATGACTAGGCGATGTGGTGTTTTCAGATAGAGTAGGCAGGCATAGCAAAATCAAAGAGCAACAACAACGATCCAATTCCATAGAATCCAAACTGAGTATCTCAAACCGCAGCCCCACTTATCAAACTTTCAAGGGCTTAATGTTGAACCGTAACATGGCTAAAGTCGACAACAAAAAAAGCCTACACATGAATCCATACGCAAGTTCCCTGACATTAAGGCAATTCATAAAACAGAAAATCATGGATATGATTTCCATCTTTCAAGTGCGAGCAGCAACTGGCGGACCAGCAGGGCGAGCTCCAGGACCACCTGGACCACCTTGACCAGGCTTAGCTTCATCCTGCACCATAGCAATGAGCAACAATCCATTAAAATTGCACGTGTTAGGTATACTCAAAAAAGAAGAGTGTGGAGTCTGGCTTAGTGCTGAACTAGGGAGCAACCTAACTGGAGATCAACAGAATGTATGCACATTTTGGTAAGCAGTTTCCAGATGAACCTTAACTCTAGCAACTGAATTCATATGACCACCCAGTATAAACATTATAACATAAACAGTAACCTATTCTTTCATTAAAAAAAAAACAGTAGTCTACTAACACAATCACTGGATTGTCTGACAACAAGAGATTCGGAGAAGAATTGCTACCTCAGGGAATCCTAGACAATCTGATACCAAATCTCAGGCCCAAGAAAGAAAATCAATACAACACAAGTCTTAGATGAAAGACATGCACAAAATGTTGTATAATCACATGTACCTACACATTGCAAAGATGCGAGAGATTACCTTGCGCCTCTGGAAGCGTTGTGGTGGGTCACGCTTCCTACGCTCAGTGCGGGAGCGCACCCTCACAACACGGGAGTGAATGGCACAGGAAACACAGTATTGCATCTTGACATACAGCTTCGGGAGAACATATCCTGAGTTTCGCAATCGCAACACAGAAATTAACCCAATTAATTCACTAATTCCTCGTGGAAACAACAAATAAAAAGGGAAGTCTAAGGCTCCAAAAAAACTGTTCCATATTTTGAAATCCTACCGTCATAGACGCAAGCCTCCTGAACATCCCTAACTGCAGCTTGCTCGACAATGTTCCTCACAAGGAACCTCTTGATTGCCTTGTCCTTCAAAATAATTTCCCCACAAACACCGTCAACAGATTCCAATATCAGTAAATCCCGACCTACAATGCTTCTAATAGTTCACTCTCACGAAGTCACCAACAGAAAAGACGGGAGAAGGATGGATAGGATAGAAGAACGGTGGGATACCTTAGGGCAGCATTTGCCGCAGTTGGAGCAGCGGATGAACTTCACATGGCCGCGGCCGTGCTTGTTACGACCTCCGTTCCTGCGCTTGAACGTCTGTGAACCGGAAACAAAAGACGGGAGAGGAAAAATGATCAATCACAACAACAATGAATTAGGCTAACGAGATCAAAGTCGATCAAAGGATTTGGACGAACCATGGCTGCTGCCGCTGCAGATTTCGATGGCTAGAGAGAAGCGCGGAGAGGTTACGGTTCGGCTGCTAGGGTTTTGGGGTGAAATTCACGACTAATAACATAAAAGGTTTTTATAGGTAGAAGAACTCGGCCTTTCTCTACTGCCCTGACTTCTTTAGGGCTTTAGGCTTTAGCCGATTGGACCGGTTCGAACACATTCATAATAATAAAGGGCCCAAGAAGGGTGTACAGAGCTGGGCTGGAAAACCCATGGAAGGTACAAAGGAAACACAAAACAAGCCACGGAAAAAGCCCAACACTACCGATTATAAAAAGGCCAGTAGCCCAATTATTTTTTGGTTTCAACGAAAATGATTCAGGCCTAATTGTACATGTTTTGTCCCCGTTTTACTTAGGTGTTTGTGCCAAATTCACTCCTAAAAGAGTGTTTTTACGCTAGGTCACTAAGACCGTGAAAAAAGGTCGTTGACCGTGAACAGAAGAGATCGACGCGGTGCGTTTTGGCGCACGTCTGCAGTTCACGGACGCATTTCGTGGTTCACGGCTGTGAACTCAGCTCGTCTCTGGTTTAAATGATGAGCTGAAAGGAGGAGAGAGGGGAGAGACGATATTGTGTGAAAGCCTTCTTTAACATTCTAGAAAGAGAAACACGAACCAAAGGGAGAAGAAGGTTAGGGTTTTTCTTCAAGGAAGATTTTGGGAAGATTTCCTCCAAGGAAAGCTCAAATCAAGGGCCAAGAAGACTGGGAGCATCCTCCAAGATGGTTTCCACCTCTTTCCCTTTTGTTTTTCCCACTTCTAGCATGGAGTAGACCTCCTTTCACTTTGGTGTTGTGAAACCCTAACTCTACCATGTAGTTTTCTTCTATGTGTATTGGATGATTGTCATTGGGTATTGTTCAATTCAATGATTGAGGCATTATTTATCATGATTGTGCATGTTTTGTGCTTAGCAACCTAAGGGTTGTGCATGTTTTGTGCTTAGCATCCTTAGGTTTGTGCATTTAGGTGCTTAGCAACCTAAGGATTGTGCATAATTGTGCTTAGCACCCTTAGGTTTGTGCATGTTGGTGCTAGCAATCTAATTAGCCACCTTAGCCTAGCTTAGAGAGGAAAATCCCCCTTCCAACGGAGACTCAATCGAGTTGGTTTTCCCTCCGCTTTCTAAGCCACCTAACAAGGTTAAGTTAGGGAAACCCTCAATGTTGACTTAAGCAAATCGGTTAATTGAGATTAAACCGTCCAATCTTTGAGTTGAGTGAGGGAGTAAGTCACTTCCCGATTGTCTAAACCGAGAGGGTCGAGTGACACGACCTTTCATGCTTACCTCGGTTTAGCAATTGAGATTGTGGTCTCCGACCATATATGCATCCCTTTGTGGTTAGCAATTACCGTGCACAAAGCAATTGTTCCAATTTACATATCATGGTAGTAGTTAGGGGGAAGCGACACCCGAGTGATCCTTCCACAAAAGAGTTTCCAAAACCAATTACCTTTGCCTTTTGTTATTTCAATTAGCAAATCTTTAAAACAAAACTTTGTTGCTAGATAATGATTTACATTTTCCTTTTGTTAATCCAGTTTGAAAGTGTGTGTTCTTTGCTTGTGCTAGACTTGGAGTTGTTTTCTGATTATGTGTAGGGAGGTGTATGACCCGGAGCAATCCGACACCTTTGCTACCCCGTGACGAGGATATAAACCGAACTCTTCGACTCCTAGCACGGGAGAGGGACCTAGTGGAGGCAAGGAGAAGAAGTAAAGAAAAGGGACAACAATTTGATCCCGTGTTAGTTGAGTAGAAGTTGAAGAAGTGGAAGGTGAACCCGACATTGGAGTAGAAATGGTGGGGGAAACAAAGAGAAGCGGGAGCCGCCCAGAGGTGTTGTGGAGGACTTTCTCATTAAAGTAGGACCTCTCATATATCCTGTTGAATTTGTTATCTTAGACATTGATGAGAACGTTGAGATCCCCCTCATCTTGGGTAGACCTTTCTTAGCCACCACCAAGGCTTTGATTGATGTGCGTGGGGGAAAGTTGGTGCTTAGGGCAGGAGAGGAGGAGGTTACATTCTCTATTTATGATAGCATGCAGTTGTCTCATTGCCATGATGATTTTGATTATTGCGAAGAGATTTTTGACTTCATGGAGGCACTCGCATCCGCGGGTGCCCTTACTTCTGGCCTTTTTGAGGAGTGTTGTTTGGTAGGAACGGACGTCCCGGAACTCCCGGAGAATGGAAACCCACCCCCGCAAGATCAAGAAGTGGAGGCCTTACCCTCAATACCAAAAATCCCTACCTCTTTGGAGGAACCCCCCGAGTTGGAATTGAAGTTGCTGCCTCCTCATCTCGAATACGCCTTTTTGAGGGAGGATGGAAAGCTTCCATTCATCATCAATGCCAATCTTACACAGGAGCAGAAGGGGGAATTAATTGAGGTCTTAAGGCGTCACGAGAGGGCGATAACATGGAAGATCACAGATATCCAGGGAATTGGGCCAAACTTTTGTTCACACAAAATCCACCTAGAGGAGGGAGCCAAACCGGTTCGGCAAACGCAAAGGCGAGTGAATCCTAATATGGAAGAAGTAGTGAAAGCAGAAGTGATCAAGCTACTGGATTCTGGGATTATCTACCCTATCTCGGATAGCCAGTGGGTGAGTCCAACCCAGTTAATCCCTAAGAAGAGAGGAATGACGGTGGTAGCCAATGAGAAGGAAGATCTTATACCAACAAGAACGGTGACGGGATGGAGGGTGTGCATCAACTATCGAAGATTGAACGAAGCCACTCGTAAGGATTACTTCCCTTTACCTTTCATCGATAAAATCTTGGAGAGGCTCGTTGGACATGATTACTATTGTTTCCTAGATGGGATGTCGGGATACTTTCATATTCAAATCTCACCAGAAGATCAAGCCAAGACAACATTCACATGCCCCTTGGGGACATTTGCTTACAGGCGCATCTTGTTTGGCTTGTGCAATGCCCTAGCGACGTTCCAAAGATGCATGGTTGCCATTTTTTATATGCTAGTTGGGGAGATAATAGGAGTGTTCATGGACGACTTCTCAGTGTTCGGAGATTCATTCTCTCACTGTCTGGCCAACTTGGAGAAGGCCCTTAAGCGATGTGAAGAAACCAATCTAGCTTTGATTTAGGAGAAGTCACATTTTATGGTCCGGGAGGGCATTGTGTTGGGTCACAAAATATCCAAGAGAGGGATTAAGGTGGATCGAGCCAAAGTTGAGACAATAAGCAGGCTCCCCCCACCAACCACGGTCAAAGGCATCAAGAGTTTCCTTGGGCATGCTGGGTTTTACCGGTGTTTCATTGAGAACTTCCCGAAGATTGCATTGCCCTTGACCAAGATTTTGGAGAAGGATGCCACATTCTTATTCACAAAGGAATGTTCTGAAGCTTCCAACATCCTTAAGGAGAAGCTTACAATTGCCCCCATAATGGTCTCACCAGATTGGAACCTTCCCTTCGAGCTCATGTGTGATGCTAGTGACTATGCAGTGGGAGCGGTGCTAGGCCAAAGACGGGGTAGACATTTTCAACCTATTTGCTACGCCTCAAAGACACTGAATGATGCTCAAAAGAACTACACAACCACGGAAAAGGAGTTGTTGGCAGTAATATTTTCTTTCGATAAATTTAGGTCTTATCTGGTTCTCTCCAAGGTTGTTGTCTACACCGACCACTCCGCCATCCACTTCTTGATGAGTAAGGCGGATGCCAAGCCCCGACTAATTCGATGGATCCTACTACTTCAAGAGTTCAATGTGGAGATCAAGGACAAAAAGGGGGGCAGTAAACTTTGCAGCTGACCACCTCTCGCGTCTCAAAGGACCGGGAGGTAGCACCTCCCCAAGAGAGATAAATGACAATTTTCCCGATGAACGGTTATTCGCCCTTGCCACTGCAGAGAGTGCAGCCCCGTGGTTTGCCGACTTCGCCAATTATCTAGTTGGAGGGCAGCTACGCTAGCCGCTAGGGGATGGATACACATGAGAGAAACAAGTTTTTCTCTGACCTCCGTTGCTACTTTTGGGATGATCCCCACCTTTTTCGAATTGGGGCCGACGGAGTCATTCGAAGGTGTGTACCGGAGGAGGAAATGGCGGATATTCTGAACCACTGTCATATGCGACCAGTTCGAGGCCATCACGAAGGTAACTGAATGGAAAGAAAGGTGCTTCAGTCGGGATTCTACTAGCCGAGCTTTTTCCGCGATGCCTACAATTTTGTGAGTTATTGTGACAAATGCCTAAGCACAAGTACTGCTTCTAACCGAAATGAGATGCCCCAAACGATTTCTATCACTTGTGAGATCTTTGATGTTTGGGGCATCAATTTTATGTGTCATTTTCCCTCGTCCTTTGGTAACAAATACATCCTCGTGGTCGTGGACTACGTCTCGAGGTGGCTTGAGGTTCATGCTCTCCCCACCAATGATGCAAGACAAGTCTGCGGATTCCTGAAAAAGCTGTTTTCACGGTTCGAGACCCTGAGGGCCATCGTTAGCGACCGAGGAACCCATTTTCAAGGGAAATTCACTACGGCGTCACCCACTGGGTGTCCATGGCATATCATCCCCAAACTAGTGGACAAGTCAACTTATCAAATAGGGAGCTGACAAGGATACTAGAAAAGACCGTGGATCAATCGCGCAATGATTGGTCCGGAAAGCTCGATGATGCTCTATGAGCGTACCGCATGGCCTACAAAACCCCAATAGACGTCTCGCCTTACCATTTGGTGTATGTCAAAGCGTGCCACTTGACTGTAGAGATAGATCATAAGGCTTTCTGGGCCATAAAGCTTTTGAATATGGACCCTAGTTTGTGTGGCAATGAATGGAAGTTGCAGGTTCTCGAACTCGAGGAATGGCGTCTCTAATCCTATGAGAACACCAAGATTTACAAGGAAAAGACGAAGCGCTTGCACGATGCTCGTCTGAAAGTAGGGAAGGATTTCCAGCCGGGAGACCAGGTTCTCTTGTACAACTCCCGGTTGAAATTACTCCCAGGAAAGCTAAGGTCGAAATGGTCGGGCCCGTATGTGGTAACACAAGTGTTCA